ATACACAAGTAACTGTAATACCAGGTAGAAAGTGAAACTCGCCCTAAGAAAGACAGGCACGCAGGTCAGCCGGAACCGGAAGGAAGGAGATATTTTTACAGCTGGGGAAATGAGAGAAGACTTCATACAGGGATGACATTGGTGTTGGATCTCGAAGGACTAGGGAAGGGACAGAGGCCACTTCAGAGAAATGGCAGGAACGAGGACACACAGAGCAGCGCGAGGTGATGAGACGCACAAGGAACGTGGGGCAGCTCAGTGCGAGAATCTGCAGAAAAGAAGAAACTAATGCACAAAAGGAACTAGTGTCAGATTAGAGAGAGCCCGGATGGCAGGATACGAAATTAATATTAACCCGAAAAGATTAACTCAGAAAGACCTAGAGAACACATAAGCAATACAGGACATGTGGACAAACATATTGATTACATAAATGTACTACCCATTAACATTACTTATGTGTAAATGGGTAAGCACTTAGAGCAGGCTTCATTCAGGGAATCAAGTGATCATCTACCTTATAATGACTGATGGCATCAAGTGGACTTAAAGTGGTACCAAAAAGCCCTGAATGAAACACACGTAAAGCTATATTCCATGTACACGATGATGACACCATCATGCTCATCATACAATAGAAGGAAAAAGAGAATCTAAGATGTGAGTTAAAACGAGAACGGGCAAAATTGAGGACTGGAAAGTTCTCAGATGCAGAGGAATTGATTTTGTAACTCTACTTTATGGTTTTGAAACTATTGTCTAGGTTTACTGGAAAAAAAGAATAACAATTATCCAGATGACATAGAATTAGAAGCTGAGCAATCACGGGACACAATGAAAATGACAGTGCTTCATCGTGTGGCCAGCAGGTGGCACTTGTCACTCGGAATAGAAAACAGCAAGTAATGAGGAATGAGCTGGAACCACGGAGTTAGGAACAGATTACTCATTCATCTATTCAGAAAGGCGAAAGAGGGGAATGCGCCGTTTCGGAAGCACAATTTATAAAGACGGTCTTGGCTTGCTGCCACAGCTTATCAGTTTCATGTCGAATTTGAGCTCTCCTATTAGGTTTACTGAACTTATGCATTTCCCTTAACAAATAGGATCTGTAATATATCGGTTTGTGCCTTTGTAAATGTTCTTACATCCTTTTTGTCTGTATTTATCTGATGAGACTATGAGCGGATGGGTGCTGGAATTAGGCAAAAAGGAAACAAATTCCAACGTCATCATTTAAAGATGTGTGACTCGATTCAAGTTATTTAAGGTCATTGAACTTCACTTCCCTCTGTTGTTATAATTGATAGAACTGCTGGAATGTTGAGGGATTAAAGAAGACACCATCTGTGGAAATGCCAGCTTGGACCTAGCTACTTCACTTTCTCCTAGAGGACAAAATCTACGCATTGCAACGCCTCTTTTACCAGAACAGTTTTCTGACTCAACCTGAGTATTCTCTGACGAGGGCAACCTGTGGGCGGTGCTCCCAGAAGTTAGACTTTGTCACTCTACATATCTGTAAGGTGTATGAGGGATGGAGAAGAGGCTGTAGCTGCTTATTTCTGATACTAGTATCGTGATACTACTTTCCTACCATTATTCTATCCCTCCTGGTTATCAGTGACACAAAACCCAGAACCACAGGATCAAAGATCCAGAAAGGACTTTATTTAGTCAACTCTTCATTTTCTAGATCAGAATGGCTTCTTCCATTAAAGTTGAAATGCAAGAGAGTAAGAAATGGGGTGTGCAGATTTAGGTCACTGTTATGTCTGCTCCCTTGGTCTGGTCAATGGGTGAGTGGGCACTGGTACTGGGAGGCAGGAAGAGAGAACAGGAGGTGGACAAACCACAATGACTTGGCATGCCCTTTATTATTTCCTGATGTTGAGAGAATGGGCACCACCAATAGACATGGAGAATCATAGCGACACGCAAGTCAGTTCTTGCTTTTCCCGTGGTGTCTACTCTACACTTGAACCATGTCTGCAGTGAACCTGAATGGCACCAATGCTCTGTTTTCCTGGCTTTCCCACCCTGGCCTGTGTCATATTCTAACAGCACTTCTTCTAAAAGGCAGTCAGGAAGAGAGTAAATTCACACGGAACATCAGGTGGTTTTGAGTCTTGTTTCTGGCATCAGGCAGCCATCACCAAAACAGTTTTTGAATACTTTCACGGATTATTTTTGTGAAAGGGGAGTTGAGATCACCCTTCAGAGGTTTCTATTCATTAATTACCATATCACACATTGAGTTACTCAGTTTTGAAAAGACAGATATGTCATACAAATGCTGAGTTTATTTTTAAAAATACATAAGTTTAACATGTAATATAAAAGATAGGTTCTATGAAGGAACAAGCCTGTGCGCATCCCCATGTCTTCATTTACAACGTGCTTCTCACCTGGAATGCTCTGTTTTTTCCCTTTATTTACCCTAAATAGACTTCACGATACAAGAGCCACTTCCTCTACGAAACATTTTTTGACTGAAGTTGCCTTCATTAACTCCTGGTAATAAACTTCTATTACTTTATAGTGGTTGCTAATTTTTAAATAGCTGTTAGACTTGGTCCACAAAGGGACTGTATCATCTGAGGGCATGTTTTATTGATTGATTCCACAACCACCTATTGAGTACCTGCTACACGGCAGGCACAGTCTCAGGTTACACAGACTCACAGTAACAGAGGCAAGACTATCCTGCACTCGTGGAGCTTACATTCTGGTATTAGACTTACCGTGTATTCCCCACAATCCCTAGCATGGGACAGACACAAGGGCAAGTCTGCGCTCAGTGACCACCTCAAGATTAACTGGTTGCCCAGGGTTGGGTGAACTCTGACCAAACTCTTCCTCAACTACCACAAAAAGAGGGTCAGTTAAGGGCAATGAGTGCCAGAAGTGTGTTAAAGATTCTGGGATTATTTTCACAAAAGGGGGCAGGGGAGGATGGTGAGGAGTCTTATGTCCTTGGGACCGCTGCCAACAAATTTCTATTTAAGTACCACTAAACTTCTTTGCTTGAAGAAGACAGATGATCTATAAATCTGGCCCAAATTTTTATGAAAAAAAAATCAACTACCAAGAAAGAAAGAATACACAGAACGATGGCCTGAATCTGTTACTCCATCAGCTGCCATCGAAGTCTCTACCTCAGTGATGAATAAAACATCCAATCCTGAGCAAACACAAAGGTAATGAAGACTTTGTCATTGGCACTACCACTAGCCAAGGGTCAGCTCTGACCTTTGTAGGAAAAAAAAAATCCAGAGATTGCCATAAAGACAAAATCAATTCAGGATGTGCTGAATGTCCTCACAAAGCTACAAGGAGTGGTAAACAAAAGAGGAAACAAAACAAATTAAAATATTCCACATTGGAAATATCTGACTTAACCTAATTGTTTATTAAAATAGCCATAGCCGGCAATACCTTTACTTCCGACCTGCTATCAAACCCACACCCAGGGGCTCTAAGACTTGTAAGAAGTTGAGCCGCTTTTTAGGGGACGGGGAATGCTGAGGAGAATGTGTTCCCAAAGTGACTCTCAGAACCTTCCCAGAGAAACCCTGAGACTCCAGGCTAACAGAGGAGGGGCAGGTGTCTCTGGCTGTGATCCCAGGTGGTGGCTGACTTGCACGGCAGATCCCCAGCAAAGCAGGAGAGGAAGGAAGGTGAAGCTGGGGTAGAAGAGAAAGTTTACCTTCTAAGAACCCAGGAATATATGCATAATAAGGTGTTATGCCTGGATGTCTTAACTCCCGCTCCATAAGAGAATTTTCTATTCGAATGAGCATTTTATTTCCAGACATCTACAGAAAAGTCAACACATTTGGACATATGCTGCTGACCTCCTTGCGTTCTATTTGAGGAAGCTGACAGGCTATACAATTAAAAAATTCTGAATTTGGGTGCTAAATCTATAAACGGAGATCTAATTACTTTATTAGTTAAGAGAGTAAAACAATATTTCTGCATGCCATTTTTTCTTTCACTTGAAATTGTCATGGTTACCTACATTTACAGACAGTAATGTTTTATTTATTGAATTTTCTTAACAATTAAATATGACTTAGAGTTTCTGTATTAATAGGCTAATCTTTTTGGCATTTTTAAAAAAAGTCATGTTGGGGCCAGCCCCATGGCTGAGTGGTTAAGTTTGTGCGCTCCACTGCAGCTGCCCAGGGTTTCGCTAGTTCAGATCCTGGGCATGGGCATGGCACCACTTGTCAAGCCATGCTGAGGTGGTGTCCCACATGCCACAACTAGAAGAACCCACAACTGAAATATACAACTATGTAGTGGGGGCGGATTTGGGGAGAAACAGCAGAAAGAAAAAGAAAATAAAAAAAGAAGATTGGCAACAGTTGTTAGCTCAGATGCCAACCTTACCAAAAAAAGTCATGTTTATTGAGGTCAAATATAAATACATTATAAAATCCATTTTTTAAGTATACAGTTCAATGATTTTTGACAAACAGATTTATGTAACTATCACCATAATCAAGATGGAAAGACTATTTCTAACACACATATATTTCTTTTAAGAAAAAAAAAGCTAATATGTTTTAAAAGAACTCTTTATCTCAAAAATCCACCCTCAACGAAGAAGCCTAATGAAATAAAAAAGGCCTAACCTTTGGGGTCATACAGAACCACATGACGGTCCATTCTGGCCGACCTCTCCGAGGCTCTGTGAGCGTCAGTAGAGCGGAAATGAGCTCCCCCTTCCTCACCTGCACTGTTACGTGGAGGGACTTAGATATCACACGTCTACTATTTCTTGAACATCTCTCCTCCCTTCTCTGGAGCCCTGAAGTACTTGTGTTCACCTCTAGATCAATCCTTGGATCCAAAATTAAAAGGAGGTGACAAAAAGGATGGAGAAAAGAGGCTACACATTGTACTTGGGTAAATACATTAGTCCATTTGCACACATGAAACCAACACCTCCAGAGTCTGTGGAGATTTGGAAAGAATTAGTAACAGCTCACCCGTGGCTGCTGTTTTGCTAGCTGATTCTGATACCTTTGGATTGACTCTCGAAGTCGCTTCTCTTTCTCTGTTTTTGATGGTGATACTGTGCTCATGGTGCCCAGGGGGATGGAAGGCAGATGTTCTGTCTGATGACAACTTCACAATCAGCAAGTACAAGAGGTAACAAGAGGAGAAAAAAGAAAACTATTTACTGTCTATAAAAGATGACTTACTTCTATAAGGAGTTACTCTTTACATGTTGTATTGAAAATTTAAATCCAAAGGAAGAGCACTACATTGATGACTTTAGGTAATACATGACCTGAAATCTCCAATTTGCATGGAAAAGAGCTTAATGGGAAGGAGAAGAGCTTAATGGAAAATGTGGAGGGTAGTATATACTTACGAGAATGGGAGAATATTCATTATTTACTAAGGTTGCATTTATCCTGCATTATCATAAAATGATGCCTTTTGCATAAATGTTTTTTAGATCATTGAAACTTATCTCATTACTGCCAAACATTTTTTTCTCAAAAAATTTGGGATAGAAATCCATATGTCTTTCTAAAGTACACCACATAATTCTGCTTCTGAAACATGGGGATCCTTTATTTGATGACTTAGGATCACTGTGAAGATTGGCGATTACTGTGATGTGATGTTCTCATTGGAAGCCTCCGGGGTTACTGAGTCCAGCAGCGGAGCCATTCATCAAACAGCCCCACGAGCCCCCTGCAACAAGCTTCCCTCCCTGATGCTCTCAGAGTATCTGCTTCTGGTGGTACTCTGCTGACCCACCCTAGTGATGCGCTGTTTCTAATCACTAGTGGGTTAATACACGTATTTTATATTCAAGTAGAATGGGGCATGAATGACAATAGACTGTGGATGAGGGCTTCCCTCATTACGGTTACAAAAAATACTTAATGACTTTTTTTTTGAGGAAGATAAGCCCTGAGCTAACATCTGCTGCCAATCCTCCTCTTTTTGCTGAGGAAGACTGGCCCTGAGCTAACATCTGTGCCCATCTTCCTCTACTTTATATGTGGGACACCAGCCACAGCATGGCTTGACAAGTGGTGCGTAGGTCCACACCTGGGATCCACTGCACCACTGGGCCAGCCTCCTTAATGACTTTTGAGACATATGGTTTGGAATGTTTGAGGCCTTTTTTTTTGTTTTCCTGACTTGGATTTGTGGCTGTGCCAAGGGGAGCTGAATTAACCAAACTGTTGAAAAAGTGAGATATTACACTGTTCACCTGGGGATGCATACGAAGTTAACCGCCACTGGGCACAGCTTTGAAGCACAGCTGGGGATGTGCAGGAGTGGGGCAAAACGTTAAGGTCAGTTCTTAGAGTCTGCTTTACACAGGGTTTTCCTATAATTGATAGGTAGCAAAAAGAAGGGGAAGGGACAAAGTCTGTATAAAACAAATGTGTGTTAGACTAGGAGAGGGAGGAAGAGGCCAAGAATAGAGAGAAGGCTTCTCCCAACTGAAACAGTGCAGGAAAAGCGAAGCCGATCAAACCCACGAGGTCTCTGTTTTTCAGTGCTGCAGCATATATTTTTCCTGCCTCTACCGACAGAGAAGAGTGAGGAAGTGCCATCAAATTCAAGTACTACTGTGAAAAAAACCACTTAATTCCACCCACATATGGTATTTGTTGTTACTGTTATTTTCAAAGAAAGGTGGCAGATAAATCAGGGGCCACCTACTAGATATAGAGCCACCTGCAGCGTTCATTTGAAGACCTCTGTGGGGCGGTACTCATACAGGTTTCTATTTCATGTGAGGAAAGAACCTTGTGGCAGTATTTTTTATTCAGAAGAGAGAAAGCTGAAGTAGTTTACTAAAATGCAATCCATTCAATTGTCTCCAAAGGTTTCAGGAAACAAATTAAATTTTAACATGCAATACAGCCCATAGATATTTTTTAACATCCTTTTCAAAATTCAGACTTTTTGGTTCAAATGATAGGCATCATTTCTACCCTGCTGTTGGTCCCTATTTTCAATGCAGATAAATGCATAGCATGAATGTAATGGAAGGGTTCCTCTATCTATGTCTTGGGTACCGTGACAAAAATGTCTAGCCTCCCTCGGTGCTTAAAGTGGAAAACAAAAAGAAGCTTCAGTGGTCCGGAAAAGAATGGCTCCATTTTACCCTGCCTGGGTCGTCAACTCTGAATACTACCAATTGTAAAATGGTGTATTTTGTCACCATAAAGTATTTAACTGGAATTAGGCTTCCTGAAACATAGAAGGATGCCTTCAGAGAGCGGGTGTGGTAAGGCAAAAAGAGTATAGGTTTTGCATCAAAATGCTTGGCTTCAAGTTTCACCTCTGGGAGGAATTCTGGACAAGTCGTGGGAACTCTCTTAGCTTCATTGTTTTCTCCTCTGAGAAATGGAGAAAGTTTATATGGCTATTGTAAAGATGAACTGAGATAACCTATGCAGTTGCTATGTAGGAGAAAGCTATTACTAGTTTCCTGCCCAAGTTCTGGTCATGTGGACAACGTTCATTCAAACGCTGTTCATTGGCATTAACCCTGAAGACGACTGGCAATTAACGCTGACGATAAACTATATTTTCTGTAAATACAGACAATGCCACTTTTGACTCCATTACTCTGTTCTTCCATTCTTCAAATGTTGCCTAATAAAGAACTATACTTCACTTCTCACCACCTGAATGCACTTATTTTAAGTGATTCTTCCAAATCCAATGGCACATCTATAACAGGGTTTGGAGATTTCATGGCACATTCTCAAAGTATGCACCGCCCATCCTCCCACATTGAATCAGAGGACGGAGCAAGGTCATCATTTTAATTTCTCTGCCCCTGGGACTCTTCAAATCTCCATCACTGTTCATGATCTCCCACAAAGGAAGTGTCAACTCTTAAGTAACTGCCCTGGTAATCAGGAGTTTTTCTTTACATCTCCCCTAAATTTCTGCTGTCACTTTAAGCATATTTTTTGTTCTAATCTTTTTAGTGGAAATGAAATACAGATGGCCAGAATGATTTCAGTATATTTAAAGAATCAAGGACTTAAGAAATTATAAATATAAGAAGACTTTCTGCATTTTAGGCTTTTAAGGTCCATCAGTTTTCTGTCAACATGGCTAAATTTATCTTGTCTAACGTCACAAGTGGCACTGTTTTGATGTGTAAAAGAGACAGAATTAACGCAGCTTTGAAACTAACTTTGCAATGCCAGTTCAAGGACAGTGGTGAGTTAGAGAAAAGGGAAGCTGTAGAGGACAGATTCCCAGTTCTGTGGGTCAATGATGCCTAAGACTAGTCTAAGAAGTCACAGGCATACGGTTGAATCTGTGGGGAGGGGCCTAAATTCTTGTGGCGTGTTATCAAGGGGCCCCAGAGACCAGGGACATAGCTGATTGTCCTTAAAAGGGGCTCAGCTGGACCCAGAAAAGATGATAAAAGTCCTATTATTCACCTCATTCTAGGTGATGAAAAGCCGAGTAAAGGGAGGTTATATTATTTGTCCACAGTTTCACGGCTAATGAAGGCAGGAGTCAAACCCAGGCGGTCTGGGTCCAGAATCTGAACTCTAAACACTACCTATGCTGTATGAAAAGTTCTTAGTTCATAGTAAGTGATCAATATTATTAACTGGTTTTTTTTGAGGGATGGGGACTTGGACCAATTTTATTTACATTTCCACATAGAAATTAAGAAAACAACAACAAGTTTCTATTAAATAGCACTTAGGTGAAAATAATGATAATGACAATGAGAATGACAACATTACACATCAGACTATTCTTCATATTGAAACTGAGCCAACATTTTGTTCCCATTTGAGAGAGACCCAAGTTGCAAGTTCGGGCTGGAACCAGGTTGGGCGTCAGACGACCCTGGCCAGTGAACAGATTTCTCAGCCCCATTTAGGCTTCAGTTTTCACTTCTCTAAAATGAAGAAGTGAGACTAGATTCATGTTTTATAATCATGCTCCTTGGAGCTGCAGGTTTTCTGCAGAGTCGGGAACAGAAATGAGAAGTACAGACCTTTGGCCCCGAGATTCCCAGCCTCCAATTCAATCAGGACAATTCTGTATTTATCTATCTTATATCTTTGGGGTCTGAGACAAATTTTATTTGGAAAAAGAAACCAAACAGGTTCTGCAGCAAACCTAGAAAGGGAGACCAAAAACCAGTGGGCCATGTGAAATCTAAGAGCGCTTGTCACTTCTGACATGCTTCCTGAGTCTCCAAATAGGATTAACCTGGGGACTCTAGGTGGAAAGGGTTTTAGCAGCAGTTTCTGAATGTTTTCTCCTTTTTAATTGTTTTTATTTGCTCTTTTCTTTTTTCAGGGCTGGATAAAAATAATCAAACAGGAGTTATTACCCTAATGTCTGTATTAACAATATTGATCCACTTATCCAGGCCAAAGGACTTAGACCAGACTCCATGGAAAAGCAATGCTTGACTTAGGGGTGCCTTTGCTAGAGGGGAGTACGAACTCTCTTCCCCGCCAAGGAAAAGAATGTAAGTCTAAAAGGGCTTGTAATAACATTGACATTCATCAATTTTTAATCAGTTTTTTTCTGTTTTAGTCTAAACTTCTTCCTCCAAGAGTACAAAGCAATGAAATAAATATATGACTTAAATAGAAAAGGCACATGATCTAACAGTTGAGTGTCCCTGAGGACCCTGTGGATAAGACTCCTGTATGATAAGGTCACATATTGTGTGAAAATGAACTGGAAGTCAGAACTCTTAAACACTGTGTCGTGGTCTTCTACACACCCCAATGTTTACAAACAGTTACATCCAGGTCTCTTTTATTTGATGGAAAAGCACACTAACAAAATAATCTTTCTACAGGTGGCAAGGGGCTAGAAAAATTTCAAAGAGATGACAGCTACTAAGCTAAAATTTATCTATAGCTGACATTTTCCAATTTCTTATTTTAGGAATTAAAAATGGATAAAGAATTTTAGAAAACTATCAAAAACTACCTGTTTTCCAAGAGGTTAGGATTGTTTGCACAAATCCAGATATCAAAAAATTCTTTTTCCTGATAATTAGTAGTGGGAGGCAAGATTCTCCATTTAAGGCAAAGATCTGAAATCAAAACAAAATCACACACAAGAGAGGCCACAATCAGAAGTGAATCTATCACAGTAAGAAGTCAGGTTGCATATTCCAAAAGTAGGAGGTAGCTTTTGATCCAGAGACAAGCGAATTCTTGATCATATAACATTATATTTGATAGCACAAACAGTCGAGAATTCTATGAGCTTCCCAGGACACCACCAATAGATTATTAGTATTTTTGTTATTGTTGTTATCATTATTATTACTGCTTAAGTTCTTTCCAGTTGGTTTCTGTTACTTTCAGTCAAAAGAATCTTAAGTAATAGGTCCCTCTGCACCTCTTCTTAAACCACAGGAAGACTTCCAGTGACTTGTTTCCCATTTCCTCTGACCTATTATCTATCCGCTGACAATATCGCTTTCCGTCTCCAACCACATGACTAACATAACAAGGAAGATCAAGCTCTGAACACAGTTCCTCGTTCTGCACTTTTTCCCTGCTCTTACTCCACTCTCCAGCCTACAGTTTCTGACTTCTTTGCCCATTTCTCCCTTTCAGTCCCTCCTTGCCTTTAGGACCGAGGCACTCTACTCTCTCCAGGCTGTTCTTAACTTTAATTCTGGATTCCCTCCAGACACAATGCTAATGGCTCCTAGGTAAACACTTCTCTCTGTTCATCTAAGACAGAGAGAGTTTGCACAGTGGTCAAGAACCTCAATAGCTCCACCACTTACTGTCTCTATGATCTTGGACAAATTACTTCTCTATGTTTCAGTATCATCATCTTCAGAAAGAGATTAAGATTAGTACTTACCTAAAAGAGTTACTGAGGATTAAATGACATAATAATCATGATAAATGCCAACATCACTAGACATTATCTGTGATGGTAATTTTATGCATCAATTTGACTGGGCCATGGGGTGCCCAGATATTTGGTGAAACAGTACTCAGAGTGTGTCTGTGAAAGTGTTCTGGATGAGATTAACATTTGAATCAGCGGACTTAGTGAAGCAGACTGCCCTCCCCAGTGTGGGTGGGCCTTATCCCATCAGTTGAAGGCCTGAATAGAACAAAAAGGCTGATCCTTTTGCACGTAAAAAGGACCTTCTCCTTCCTGACTGCCTTGAGCTGGAACATCAGTATTTCCCTGCCTTCAGACTCAAACTAAAACATCAGGTCTTCCTGCATGTGGAGCCTGCCAACATTCAGACTGAAACTGTACCATGGGTCTTCTGGTTCTCAGGCCTTCAGACTCAAAGTGGAATTGACCACTGGCTCTCCTGGTCCCCAGCTTGCTGACTGAGATCTTGGGACTTGTCAGTCTCCACAATCATGTGAGCCAATTTCTTATAAAAAAATAAATAAACATCTATCTATCTATCCCACAGGTTCTGTTTCTCTGGAGAACTGTAATACACTATCCTAAGCACTCAGTAAACTTTACATATGTTAATTCATTTTATTTTCACAAAACTGGATGAAGGAGCTACAAATGCTAACCTCATTTTATAAATAAGGACACTGAGGCTTCGAGAAACCAAGGAATTTGCCCGATTTCATCCTGCTCTCAGGTACTGGAGATTGGATTCTGGCAGTACCTTGCACACATCAAAAACACACAGTAATTTTTAGCCATTACTACTTTCACCCAATAAGTTGGGGCATACAGTCATTGATTTCCTCAACTTTATCTTCTAAATATCTGTCATGGACACTCCTCTTAAATCCCACTGCCACGCCTTTACTCAGACATTTACATTTTCTCATCTGATCCTGGAATACGCCGGTACTCTCCTCAGAGGTCTGGCCCCAACCTCGGCTCTAGCCCTCCTCCAAACCAGCCTTCCCTGAGCTACCAAGGCACCTTACTACAAGCTACACCCAACTGGTCAGGACCTCTTTGACCAGCCTGGGCCCAAGCTTGGGGAGGTGTCCCCAGCACTGTATGAATAACTCCAGCATTTCACATACCACCATGTGCTTGCTTGTCTGCCTTCATCGCTGGACGGCAGATTCCTTGCAGAGAGCAGAGTGTCTGCAATTCTCTAACCCTTGGCAGAGTGGGCAGAAGACGTAACAGAGGCACACAGTAAGTGCTCAATGCTTCAAAGAAGTCATTCTCCTACTGGAAAACTCCCACTGCCTCTCCATTGCTTATCACAACAAAAACTCCTTATCCTGGCTTTCAAGGCCCTTTAACATGTTTACTCAACATAATATTTCTGTCTTTTATTATTTATTCATCATTCATTTAATAGTCAATTACTAAGTATCTACCTACATATTGAACACAGTGCAAGGTATTAAAATAGAAAGATGACAGTTTCTATTATTCTACAACAAAAATTTTAGCTGAAGTGTACACTTGATATTAACACACATCTCCCACTACATCTCTGCCTATCAAAATCCTATTTTAAAGACCATGACGAAGGCCACCTCTGTCATGAAGCCTTGCCTCAACTTCCTCCTCCTCCCTTTCTTTGCTAATCCTCAAAGAACTTTATGCCTGTGTTACATCTTTTTTATTTTTTTTTGAGGAAGATTAGCCCTGAGTTAACATCTGCCGCCAATCCTCCTCTTTTTGCTGAGGAAGAGTGGCCCTGAGCCAACATCTGTGCCCATCTTCCTCTACTTTATATGTGGGATGCCGCCTCAGCACGGCTTGATAAGCAGTGCTAGGTCTGCACCCGGGATCCAAACCAGCGAACCCTGGGCCACTGAAGCAGTGCATGTGAACTTAGCCGCTGCACCACCGGGCCGGCCTCTACATCATTTAATTTATGTTCATCTCTATTACAATTATTTACAAACTTATCTCACCATCTCTCCTAGACTCTAACCTCTTTGAAAGCAAGAACTCTGTCTTACCCAGCTTTGTCTCCCTCCTGCCCCATTTTTTAAAACAATGACATGCATGTTAGGAACTCATTAAATGTTTGCTGCTTAGAATGCAATTCGACACTCACCACACTGAATGATGAATGGGATGGCCATGGCTTGCCTTCTTTGACACTGAATAGAATCCAAAGATTTCTCCATGTCCTTGTTATTCTGGCATCCAAATTCATTCCAAAACAATGTTAGATTTCTATTACCTGTAAAAGAAAGCAGGCAAAGAATAACGAAAGTGAATAAAATCACTGAGATCAAGACGGTAAGCAAAGGAAAGTCTGGATATAAACTCATGTATATACACTATGATCTCAACTATGCAAAAACTAATGCATATACAGAAATAGATTAAAATATTCATATTGGTTTCTCTGAGTATGGGTGAAATTTTTCTGCTTTATACTTTCTTGCATTTTCTAAACTACATATAATAAATATGCAATATCTTTATAATAAAACTAAACACAACAGCAGTTATAAAAATATATACATACTTTTATCGTTATGATAAAATACACTGACATTTAAAATTTTTTCTTAAATACTCCTAGGAAGGACAGTACTGATTAAACTTAAAGGCCACCTTTAGGACTACTGATACAAATATTTATCATCTTGTCTCACAGCCAGCGTTTCTTCACCTTTATTTCGTCTCTGGTTCCCTTTAGTTCCAGTCTTTATTGTTTCTGTCCTACCCTCACATCAGATTCTCTGCTCCCTCCTTGCTTAGAAACACCCCTTGTCATGGAGGACCATTAAGGAGTCCTCTTGAGGAGGCTGTGTTCCTATCCTTTAATCCAGCAAATTGAAATGCTAGGAATCTTCCCTGCAAACATACAAAACAATGGCTAGATATCTCACAGCACTGTTTGAATAGCAAAAAAAAAAAAAAAAAAAAAAAATAGAAACAACTTAAAAGTTTAGAATAGGGAATTGATAAATTCCATTTCCAAACAAGGGAACACTAGACATCCTTTAAAACAGGGAGTTAGAGCTAAATGTATTGTTGCATCAAGACATCCAAGATAGAGTTCTAACAACAAAAAGATGTAAAACAGCATAACTAGCACAAGCAATTTTTGTAACTTATAAAAAGCATATACATATGAAATTTTGATGTACACACTTCTTTCCCAAAAGGATACCAAAGAAAGTTTTAATAGTGGATGCCACTGGAGAAAGGGAGCGAGGCTGAGAGGAAGGCAGGAGAAGACACTTTCACTTTTCATTTTTTACTTGAATATTTTTTACATGTGCATGCATTACATTAAAAATATTTTTTTAGGGGCTGGCCCCGTGGCCGAGTGGTTAAGTTCGCGTGCTCCGCTGCAGGCGGCCCAGTGTTTCGTTGGTTCGAATCCTGGGCGCGGACATGGCACTGCTCATCAAACCACGCTGAGGCAGCATCCCACATGCCACAACTAAAAGGACCCATAACGAAGAATGTACAACTACGTACTGGGGGGCTTTGGGGAGAAAAAGGAAAAAAATAAAAATAAAAAAATCTTTAAAAAAAAATATTTTTTTTTAAAAAACAATCTATGTTTACCATTCTGTCCAAGGGGGTAACCACTAGCCGCATGTGGAAATGTAGCAGATATAGAACATTTCATCAACGTATAAAGTTCAAGAAGTGAGGTTCTAAAATATAAATCTCAGAAATAAAACATATGAAATACAGCCGGGCCTACATCCACGTATGACTGTAATCCACGTGAAATACAAGTAAATATCCTCCCACCTTCCTCCTCCTGTTAAAGCTTTGGGTCAGAACGCTGGGTGCCTTGAAGACCACAGGGGAGGGACTCGGCCTTCAAATGGGGCTTCGCCCCCGGGTGGGCTGAAAGCTGCCCTCACAAACTCCCGGGTCTCCTCACAAAATCCCTAACAGCTCTCCCCTCAAATTTCCCTTTGGATTCTGTTTCTTGGGCTTTTCTCAACTCAGACGTTCAGTCTTTTGCCCTTTCTCAGCATCTGGTCTTGGCCCAGCGCAGCCCACTTCTTCGCGGCACACCAGATCCTGATATCCTCTTTGGTGTCTGGACGGGGCTTGTGAGGGCTTGTTCTCTGATTTCCAAATGAACTACTCAGTTCTTACAATGTCAAGGCAGGAGGTGCTGTAGGTTAAAGTTGGGTGGCTTTGAGGTCTGTCTGTGCCACACCAGTTGTGTAATTGTGGGAAGCCACTAACTTTTCTTATCCATAAAGCAAATGTTTACAGTAACCTGCCTTAGCGGGTTATCATAAAGAATAAACGTGAAGGCATATTAAACACCATAGCGTCCTGCAGAAATTTAAGTTGTAACTGTATTGTACTTGTCCTCTAAATGTTACTTCCTTGAGAAGACTGTACCTTTTCAAAGAAGGAGCTGTGCTTTATGACCCTGTAGGCCCGCAACACACAGCTCAGCATCTTGTACCGAGCAAGCCCTCAAAAGATACTGTGCTACTCTTGATAAAATACCTCATTAATGTGTTGTTTGGGATAAAATGAAAGTGAAATAATGTCTCTCCCTGAAAACATTAAGTAAACACAGTTAACACAACACAGCTAATTTATAAAACGGATATCAACCATGAACCCCAACACAAACATTTTAAGAGTGGTAAAACTAATAGGATATTAGAAACATAAGCACACACCCCTCGAGGGCAGGGTGATACCTGCTGTGTGGTTACGCCACTCTTGTAACACCTACATATTACTCTTTAGTTCACTTTATGCCTATTTTTCCCCTTGGATAGTGAAATCCTTGAAGATAGTGGCTACGTTTAGGATCTCGTTTTCAATAGCTGACACACAGAGCTTAATGTTTACTTACAGGACTAAATACTACTAAAGAATTACTGGCTATCGAAGGCAGAAGTGAGAACACTCAGTAGCCAAAACATCTAATGACCAGGACTGATACAAGATATTATACTATTCAAGGCAGATAGCAGGATAAAGAAAACAACCAGAGTTTTTTATTCAGGTGGTCAGAAATGCCTTTCCTAACTGCCAACAGAATTTCACCATTTTTTCTTCAGAGAAAAGCTACTCCAACGTACACAACTTGAATGTGTTATTAAAACAAATTTCCACGGAGTGGATCCTGAAGACTAGGTAGATGCTTCAGCAACTGGATAAGTAAGTTGGCCAGAGGGATGGCATTGCGAGGAAACATATCATGTCAGTTTCTATTTTCGCTTATATGTTACTCAGTCTGTAGAGATTGATACAGCAACCCTACAAAAAAATTCCTAGCATAAAGGGAACCCCCATAAGTCTGTCCATGAATTTTTCAGCAGAAACCTTGCAAGACAGGAGACTGTAGGAAGATATAATCAAAGTGCTGAAAGAAAAAAAAACCTGCCAAGCTGTCCCTCAGGAATGAAGGATAAAGAATTTCCCAAACAAACACACACTGAGGGAGTTTACTACCATTAGATCTGCCTTACAAGAAATACTAAAGGGAGCTCTTCAAGTTGAAATGAAAGGACACTAATGAATAACTTAAAAATATGAAAATATAACACTCACTAGTACAGGTAAGTATATAGTCAAATTCAGAATACTCGAACACTGTAATGGTGGCATACAGATCACTCAACCCTAGTATAAACATTAGAAGGCAAAAGTAGTGAGCAGAACTATAGCTACAATAATTTCTTGATGAATATACAATACAAAAACACATAAATTGTTAAATAAATACATAAGATGTGTGTGGGCGGAGGGAGTAAAAAGGTAGAGTTTTTGTATGCAACTGAAGTTGTTATAAGCTTAAAATAAACTGTAATAACCGGAAGGCGTATTATGTAAGCCTCATGGTAACCACAAAGCAAAAACCTACAGGAGATACACAAAAGATAAATAGAGAGGATTCAAAGCACATCACCATGGAAAATCATCGTATCACAAAGAAAGACAGCAAGAGAGGAAGAAAGAAACAAAGGAACTGCAAAGCAGCCAGAAAACAATTAACAGGATGGCAATAAGTCCTTGTCTATCAATAATTACTTTAAATGTAAATGGACTAAGTTCTCCAATCAAAAGACAGAGTGAGGCCAGCCCTGTGGCCGAGTGGTTAAAGTTCTGTGTACTCTGCTTCAGCGGCCCGGGTTCACGGGTTTGGATCCTGGGGGCTGACCTTCTCCGCTCATCAACCATGCCGTGGTGGCATCCCACATACAAAGTGGAGGAAGACTGGCACAGATGTTAGCTCAGGGCTAATCTTCAAGCAACAAAAAAAAAGAGGAAGATTGACAATGTATATCAGCTCAGGGTGAATCTTCCTCACCAAAAATAATAAAATAAAAAGGACAAAGTAGCTGAATGAATAAAACATAAGACTAACTATATGCTGCCTACAAGGGACTCACTCCAGTTTTACGGACACACATAAGTTCAAAAGTGAAGGGACAGAAAAAGAATTTCCATGCAAATGGAAACCAAAAGAGAGCAGGAGTAGCTATACTTAGACAAAATACACTGAAGTCAAAAACGTAACAAGAGACAAAGAAGGTCATTATATAATGATAAAGGTGTCAATTCATCAGGAAGATATAACAATTATAAATATATATATATATATACCTAACATCAGATAAATATATTTAATATTTTTATCTAAAATAACATTTTAGAGGCTGGCCCTGTGGCCGAGTGGTGAAGTGCATGCGTTCTGCTTCGGCAGCCCAGGGTTTCGACAGTTTGGATCCTGGGCATGGACATGGCACAGCTCATCAGGCCTTGCTGAGGTGGCATCCCACATGCCACAACTAGAAGGACCCACAACTAAACTATGCAACTATGTACTAAGGGGATTTGGGGAGAAAAAGAAAAAAAATAAAATAAAATAACATTTTAGCAAAATACATTAAGCAAATATTAACAGATCTCAAGGCAGAAATAGCCAGTAATGCAATGATAGTAGGGGACTTCATTACTCCACTTTCAATAATGAATAGATCATCCAGAGAGAAAATCATAAGGAAATAATGGACTTGCCATACTTTAGATCAAATGGACCTGAAAGACATTCACTCAATATTTCATCCACCAGCAGCAGAATATACACTCTTCTCAAATGCACAGGAAGCATTCTCCAGGACAGATCATACGTTAGGTGACAAAACAAGCCTTAACAAATTTACAAAGACTGAAACCATATCAAGTATCTTTTCTAACCATAATGGTATAAAATTAAAAATTAGTAAC